AATACAGGGCCGTTTTGAGAGCTCTAGGACAGGGGAACATGGTCGGAGAGGTAGCAAAGATTTTTCAGGTGGCCGATCTGGACGGAGATGGGTTTATTGACTTCAAAGACTTCCTGGAAGTGCACAAAAAGAGTGGAGGGATTAAGACATTGGACATACAGACCGCCTTCCGAACATTTGATCTGAATGGCGATGGAAAGATAAGCGCTGAGGAGGTTATGGAAGTCTTGAGGAGGCTTGGTGAGAGATGTAGTTTAGAGGATTGCCGGAAAATGGTGAAGGCGGTGGACACCGAGGGAGATGGTTTGGTTAACATGGATGAATTCATGACAATGATGACTCGTTCCATGAGGCTTGGCTAGTTGAAAGCCAACTTTTATGTGGTTTGCTTTGTCAGACACACTTTAACCATATGGGAATCATGGCTATGTAATGAAGTAACTAATCTGTCTTTAATGCAATTTTAATGAGTCTCTTTCTTAAGTCGGTTCCTATTGTCCTCCTCTTTCTCGCCCCAGAACTTTGAAATTCTTATTTAGCAAGGAACTGATTTTTCCCAGTGGAAGTTTTGAAATTAAGATGTTTGGAAAATCGAATGAAAGAAGCCTCCTCTCTTTCAATGAGTTCGTATATTATTATCCTATATTCTTAATTAAGATAATAGTTGCCTAATTTTCTACATAATTTTTTATAGTTTCCTATTTGATAAAGGAAACAGACAACTTTATTGTTTTAGGAAAGACCCAAGCACTCAACTGGTTCTAATACACTCAATTTATTAAAACTGTTTTTATTAACAACTCTTAAGACGGAATATGTAGGTTTCTAGTATTTTGTAGAGTTAATACATGCTTTGGACAGGTTTTTGTTGTTAGCCAGATTAATTATTATAGAAATTGGAGAGAATTTTTTTAAATCATTACTAATTTAATTATAAATCCACAGTCTAAGTATCATTAAATAAATTACAAATGCACTAATTCTAACTTCATATTACAGATAATCCGTAGGAGGAATTCAATTTTGTATTTATTCCATAATTGAGATATAATCTGCACTCTACAGACCAATGGAACAAGAATTTGCAACTTCCCAATGCAAATTTCTAGTTGCAGCTATCTTCAGACATATTTGCATAAAAGAAAGATTTAAGGTTATGAAAAGACTAAGCCATCAGTTGATGCAAAAAGAAAACTCATTAATTGATTGAGCTTTTGGAACACAACCGATTCATACATTATAAGGCCATGACTGGTTCATTTCCAAACACTTGCAGCTCTAGCCCTTCCATTCGCAGAATCCCATATGGCCGGATGATTCCAGTAACTCTACAAACCATGTCATATTCGTATTGTGGATATATAAATATATGTTCACCAGTAGTCTCCACAAGAACACTTACCATCTTTGAAATGATGGAACCGTTTATTATCCCTCACAATTAGTTCCCTTCCAACAATCTTGGACATGATCTTGATGGCATTGTGACAGTCTCCACACACACGGAGGTTCTTGATGATCCTAAGAGTCGTCCTCGCTGGAGTACTGATCAGACCATATGCAATTGCCAATCTTTCACTGTGATACAGCAAAGCTTGCTCCTTGGCCTCCTGATCAATGTCGTGAAGTACATATCTTGTGTCAGGCACGTAGCCAGCATCTTTCATTCTAGCCATGGCCTTCAATTTCTCATCATCCTTATAAAGTGTTGGATTCCGAAATTCACTGATCCTATTCTTCCCATCAAGCATGCTTATTGCAGTACGCTTCTTCGGTGGGGGTGTTGGGATCTTATTAGCAACTGCCTTTGCTGGATCGAGATTGAGCATTAACTCCTCAGCATGGTCTTCCAAATCAATATCTCCGTGAATACGAGCGTAGTTCCTCATTGCCTCCCAAAATTCTTCAGTGGGCTTGAATGGCAACTTGTGAATATAATCTACAGCCTCCATAAGATGCCCGCATTTTCCAAGAACACCTAAAAGACCCAGATAATGCTCAACACCTGGAGTGACTCCATATTCAGTCTGCATTGAATCAAAATGTAAAAATGCTTCTTCTATTGCATCGGCAGTTGCACACGCTGAGAAAACTGAAAGGAAAGTTTTCTCTTCGGGTTTCATTTGTAGTTTCCTCATCTGTTCAAACAACTGCAATCCATCATCTCCCATTCCATTATCAGCATACCCATCAATCATCAAATGCCATGAGTCCATATTCCTATTCAACATGTGATCAAAAACTCTCCTTGCATCCGTCATACTCCCACACTTTGAATACATTTCAATCACTTTGTTGTTCAACTTAAGATCACCCCTAAAAGTTGACTGCAAAAAGTAATCATGAACTTTTTTGGCATGTTCAAGTGACTTCAGTTTCCCACATGACTCAAACAGAACAAAGAAACACTCTCCATCAGCTTTAGCTCCCTCGTCCAGCAAGCCAACGGCATCTTTAAACTTTCCCTCTTGGCATAAACGAAGTATATCAGCCACTGAAGGAGGCGCTGGAGCAGGCGGAGTAGGAGCAGGAGGCGCAGGAACCGCAACCTGCCCTTGATTCATGCTGCTGGGGTTGGTGAACTGAGTAGGGTTTTGACTTTGTTGAGTCCACTGATTCGGGGTTTGCTGTTGAGGACGGCTCTGTCCAGGATATCCTCGATTCAGATAACTCTGTCCCTGATTAGGGTTTCCCCTGTTCTGGTTTTGATAACTGACTTGAGCATCACCATGGCCACCTTGAGGAGGGTAAAGCTGGTTCTGAGCCTGATTCCGACTGGGATCACTCTGTCCCTGATTAGGATACACTCTATTCTGGTTTTGGTAGTTGAACTGACCATCCCCATATCCACCTTGAGGAGAGTAAGGCTGGTTATGAGCCTGTGTAATATTGGGATAACCCTGTCCCTGATTAGGATATCCTCTATTCTGGTTTTGAGTATGTGGATTCCATTGATTTGAGTTATACCCCTGGTTTTCTGGGGTCCATTGATTAAAATTAGGGTTAGAGGTATTCTGCCTCTGAGCATTCAAGTGCTGATTAGGGTTCATCTGACCCTGAAAAGCCCTGGAATCAGACTGAGACAGTGATGACTGTTCGGGATAAGGAGGCGATTGTGGATTCTGGTATTCATTTGGGATTGCAGAGGTGCTCAGGGCTCTGGTTGAAGTTCGGGTTACGGTTTTTCCATTGCAGGGATGACTGAAAGTGAGACGGAGAGGAGAAAATCGTACCTTGATGAGAGAAGACATCAGTGTTGTTGTCGGGCTTCGTGTACGCCGTACCGCCATCAGAGAAGAAGCCATCTTCCTCCCGGATAGTGAAAATGGGAATTAAAACCCTTTTAAAACCCTAAAATTGTCTGCACCGTGAAGTCTGTAAGTCCGAAGACCGAATAAAGCACGAAGAAATGGATAATGGTTTTGGATATTCGGTTTGGCCCAATGGATCTTATACCCAATGGATCGGGTCAATAAATCATTAATTTGTCGTTTAATTGAACCGAATTAGGCTATTTGGGCCTCGTCGAGCCTGATCCGATCCACATTGTGTAGGCCCAAAATCCCTTTATTCTTTGTACATCCTCTTAAATATTTTAGTTTTAATTTTTTTTATTTCCTTTTTTTATCTAATTAATTTAATTAATTACTCTTTTAATATCTTCTTAAATAATAGTATATGCATTAGAAAATATTATACATATAAAATACTTGTACTAGATATATACATTTTTTAATTTTTTATTAAAATAATTTATTTATTTTTTGTAATAAATTTGAGTTTTTCAATTTTTTTTATCTTATGATTAATTAATTTATTTTTTAATTAAAAATTAATATAACTTAGTAGTCGAATGGAAATTATATATTACTTTTTTTTTTTTTTCAAGAACTCAAGACATAAAACTGCTGCAACATTCAAATAGGTGATAATATGGGATATAGAAATACAAACAGCACAAACCAATACAATGAAGCATATACATACAAGCAGCCACCAACGTATATATATATATATATATATATATATATACGTACATATACGCATACATATATAACTACATGTATGTATATATGTACGTACATATCTTTATATATAGATATCTATGTATCCTTCTTATCATCATCTTGTCATGCCTGATGCCAAAACTGGGGCCGCCGTGACTACTCGCTTTTGTCTATCCATGTTGGCTTCCCATCCTTCGTTTAATATTCAAAGAAGAAAATAAGCAAATAAATTAAATTTTAAAAAACAAAATAAACAATTTAATTAAGTATAATATATTTTAAAACTCAAGGTCAAGTCAATATAATAATTTATATAATGATTCGTATACATTGTAAGTATATATATATATATATATCAAATGGGCACATATATTTTACGAGGACTGGATTAGTCAAAGCAAAAATTAACATTTAATTATTAATTAATTAAGTTAATTTTTGTTTAAACGTGCGTCATCATCAATTTTACATGTAAATATAGATGAATTTCAATAATAAAAATTTAAAATATTTATTTAATTAATACGTCATACATACGTCACTTCAGTGATTATTACCCACCACCTAAAAATAATAGACTATAATTTTTATGTCAATCTTAGATGATTTTTTTTAAAAAAAATAAATAAATAAGTGCTTCTAGTCCAAATATATTTAATTTTTATTTAATTCCTATATTTTATATATTCTAATAATAAATATATAGTTAAACAAGTTTTACTCCTACGCACAAACGAATAATTAAAAAAAAAAAAGAAAATCACAATTAAATAAAATATTATTACCCATTAAATAATAAATTACATTAAATTAATATAAAATTAAAATATTATTTCCAATTGGGTTTTGTATTCGTATTTTATATTTTTAAAATTAAAAATTAATATATATATATATATAAAATCTTGATTACCTATTCCCATATCAAATCCACGATATTTAAGCTCTCTGTATTCTTGACAAAGTGCACAAGGCTCGCAACAGAAGTGCGCGAGACAATCCACACAAGGTGTTTCTTCTAAATCATATTGGCCCCTCAACTTTGAGCGGTAAAAGCACGAATAAAAGCATGCGAAACACGTGACTTGTGATATCGCGTATAATACTCCGCTCGTAGCGCAAGCTGTAGTTATAAATTACTAAATTAGTATTCGAAGTTTAAAATTTATTATAAGTCGATTCGTAATATTTTTTTATTATAATTTAATTTAATTAATTTTAAACGTAAAATTTATTTTTTATTTTTAATATAAAGTATGAAAAAATAATTAAACTATGTTTAGTTAAAAGGGTACGGAAATTAAGCTTACTTCGGTCCCCTTTATTCACTATCTCTGCAATTTGTCCAAAAGTTATGCACGGGCAAAAGCAAGTGATTGCACCTGAAAACCCACCAAATTTAAAATCCAATTACAAATTAATTAAACATAATTATAGTAATTATAATTTTTAAATGAATATATATACGTAAATATAATTTAATTCAGATTTATTATTTTTTATAAAATGAGAGAACGTATTAATTATTAAATTAAATTTTATTTAATTATCATAATTTTTTTTGTTATTTTAAAAAATAAATAATAAAAATTGCTAATTTTTTATAATTGAAACTTCTCGCAAAAATTAAAGAACACATTAGACATTAAATTATATTAATTTTATAAAATATAATACTATATAATCAAATATTTTGAAATTGAATAATAAATAAATTTTAAATGATTAATTTGATAAAAGTTAGCATTTTTAGTTCAAAAAACAATTAAAATAATAAATATAAAATAATTTTACGAATTTAAGTCGATAAATTTCCAACATCGTATTAAATAATAAAGCGATGAATAAATTAACATAATATTTTATAAAAAAAAACTTAATTCGGTAGTACAAGAAATTGTCAATGTTTACAGTTTGCTACATCGTCGCAGCAATGGCAGAGGCCGGAAGACCATTGACCGGGCAGGGGCTGAGCTGGGAGACTGCTGGTGATGTAGGGCGGCGCATAAGGATGCGGCGGTAGAGGACTTGGATCGGGGACACCGGAAACCGGCAGAGACCCTGCTGCTGAACTGATCTCGACCGTAGGATATGATCTAAAAGAGTGATCAACGTGGTGTGTATGATACATTTTGTAGCTAATAGCTAAAGAAAGAAGATAAGTCGGAAGTTAAGGGAAATTGGAGGCGTATGTAGTAGTTACATATATATATATACACACACACACACACATTTAAGCCTATACTTATTATTTTTGTATTATACTCAGAAGGTTCATTTGGTACGAAACTATGAACTTGTCAACTATGGGTCTTTCTTTATTGTTCAATTTGTTACAATAAATTAATATACATAACATATTTTGTATTATACTCATAAGTTATTTTTATACTATATTTGAATTTTACGATTTTTAATTTTTATTAAAAATATAAAACTTATAATTTTATAAATATATTATAAATTATAAGTAACTAATTTATAATATTTAATTTAACAGAAATAAATATTTAATTTATTAGTATATTTATAAATAATATTTTTATTTAAAAAATTAGTATATTGACCAATTATGAATTAAGAATTTAATATCTATTTCATGTTTATTTATTAATTACAAATTGGGTTGCTTTCGGATTTTCCTAAAAAAAAAAAAATTGCATTCGATTTAAAATTCCAATTGAAAATTGATAATTGCAATGCAATGATAGTTACATATGCCAAATGGGAAATAGTTAATTCGATAAATCTTCAACTTGATTTTCAAAATCAAAATTAAAAACCCAAAATTTTATTAAAAAATTTAATAATCAAGTGTTTGAAAATTAATTATTTTATTTATTTTCTATTTTAGTCATATAAAATAATTGTTGAATGTTAATTAAAATATTGATTCCAATATGAAATGGCCACCCTTTGAGTCCAACCCTCGTGGGTGGCTTGAGATAATTTTTCTCATATAAATAAATCTAGTGATATGTCTGAAAATTATTTATTATAATATATATATATAGACAAATTTAATATCCGGATCTGAAATTTAGTTCGGGATCAATTTTTGTATTTATAAAAATAATTAAAAAAATATTCTAATTTAATTTTACTAAATTATTTGAGAAAAATATGTTAAGAACGTAATTGAAAGTAATTTTGAAGAAAATATATCAAATTTTGAATTCGGATGATGTTTTTAAAAGAAAAATTAGAAACAAATGAGTCAAAATCCAAAAAAAAAAAAAAATCGACCACGTGGGACGGCCTAGTCAACAGCCCCAACTAACCAAAGCACGCCGAGTGGCAAAATACGATGACGTTGGTGTCACGCGGGTGATTTGCTTTCCTAGCGATTCGACAGTCCAGATTCGATTCCATGTGTGTGAATGGCTCATATGCATTTCATCCTTATGAGCGATCAGACAGACAGGATCGATCGCGATGAATGGTCCAGATTCGCTCACGTAATCGACCTAAACAGGCAACGATCGGATGTCTCTCATCGCTCCACGTCAACGTGAGTGGACGGTCTAGATCGACGCATGATGAGTATATATGAAGAGGCTCATAACTTAAATTGAAATAAATTCATAAATTAAATGCAAAAGTGATTAATGGAGTTTTGGTTTACATTTCTTAAACAATAATTTAGAATGCCCAATAAGATTACGAGAATGTCAATTCTAAAAGATAAACGGAAATTAAAGAAATAAAACGAAAGCGAATAAGTAAACATCTTATGACAACCTTCACTAGCACTTGAAGGGAGTTTAGGTAGTGAACTACTCATAACTCTCTTATTAATTGGGATATGGATCTTGGTTATCTTAATATGAAATAGTTAATGAAATAGTGAGTTACACTAGTCCAGTAAGAATATCACACTAATCACAGATACAGAAAACTGAAGATTGGAAAAAAAATCATAAAAATAACTAATGAAGCCCTTACTTAATTTAAATACATTTAAACTTGAAAGTGTTTGTTTAATACTTACCATAAAGAGTTTTTAAGAGGCAACATATGAAGACTCATATTCATACTACTTTTCACTTTCACGCATAAGATAACAAGAAATAATAAATTTCATTTCTTACCTGTTTACCGATACCCCTGGGGGTCCATAGGGATGTCTCTCTTAACCATGAACTCGATATTTAATTTTTTAATTAACTAGTTGTCTCTATACTCTGTCTAATAATGAGCGTCAAATATTTTATCATCTCGATACCTCGTCCGGTATGAGGGTGAACCATATCTCCCAAACTTTTATGGTAATAGACTTCTCATCCCTATTCGACCGAGGTAACATTCACGATAGAGTTTGTTATGTACTGGGCCCGTTCGCTATTTTTCAGGTATCCAATAAATTTTTCACATATAGATTTTCATTAACAAACAACTAACAAGCGCATACCACTATCTCATTGTATATTCACAGATCAATCAAGTAACATTTAAGCAAACAGTACGATTTCATACCTCAACAATTAAGAAACGTGATTGGGGTATTTATTTTAAATCAATGAATCAGATAAAGATCACGATCACAATCAATAAATTGAAAAAATAATTTAGAAGTAATTATTTTAATTATACGGTAGATCAATTAAGTAAGTAGAACAATACAATAAAATAAACGAAAAATCAAGATAGTTGCGAACTAACTTATTCTAGCTCTACTAATAACTTGTAATTATTTTTAGGATTTTCTAATTTTTCATAAAAATATAAAATTATACACCATTAAGCCTCAATTTATCATAACAGAAAATAGGGTGAGAGATACTTACCCGAATCGGTGTTTTGAGACGTCGAGCCGTCTACTACACCTCTTAACGGGTACTGAATTTTTTGAATTTTTCTTATGGAATCTAAAACCCCCGTCATATACCTAAAAATACTCAAAAAAATCTAAAATCAATGTTCAAGACTCATTCCGACCAATTTTAGGGTTCCGACAAGGCAGTGCCGTTGTGCTCCGGTGTCGGCTCCGTCGCCCATAGCGGTGGTTCGTCTCGACCTGGCCAATTTTGGTTGTATCGCTGTAGAAAAATATGTTAGGGTGCCTTAGTTGGCTGAAAAATCACAAAAACCAAACCTATCGGCAGGGGAGGAACTTTCGGGGTGTGGCGGCTCTGTCGGTCCTCCTTCGCGACTTAGATTTTTTATATCGCTAACCTACACCGAAAAGGATGGTGAACATAATAATCAAAAAACACATGAAACGGGAATCGAAAATGGGCTCATTAGAGAGATTTTGGGGTTTTGGCCGTCGCAGCTCTATCGAGCTTTACTCGCAGTTTCTACCTCAACCGTCGTCTTTTTTTATCCGATTTGGCCACCTGGGTGCTCAAAATTGAACTCTAAACGGGTATGAGGAATGTTTACCTTTTTTAGCAACCGACAGTGACTCTGGTGCGATGACAGTTGATAGTTGACCGCCTTTTTCGGCGTCTGATTCTTCTTCTCCAACAGGAGTTAGCGGCTAGGGTTTGGATTTTTGTGTAATATGAAATATTTATACTCATCCCGCATTAATTTAGATCGTCCATCACGATCGATCTTGTCCGTCCGATCACGCCTAAAGAGGAAACAAATTTGAGCTGTTTGTCGCGATTGATCTCGGTCATCCGATCGCGCTTAAGAAAAAACGAATTCGGGTCATCCACATACATGGGATCGATCCTGGTTTGTCCGATAGCGGGGCATGCAGATCATTTGTGTGATACCGACATCAGCGTGCCTTGCTGCGCGGCGTGTTTCGGTTCGTCGAGGCTGCTGACTGGGCAGTTCTACGTGGTCAAACTTTCTCTTTTTGTACTTTGACCTCTGTTTCTAATTTTTCTTTCAAAAAATACATCTCAAACTCAAATTTTTACTCATTTTTTCTAAAATTATTTTCAATCTCGTCTTTATTTCATTTTTTTCTCAATATTCAATTAAATAAAAATAAACTAAATTAAATAATTTTTTAATAAAATAATTTAATAATAAAAAATATCTCGAACCATTTTTTAGGCCCGGGTATTACAAAGGATCCCTCATCCTATTCCCTATTGCGGTAAATAAAGACTTAATAATTGATAATTGTGTGTTTTGTAAAAACTAAAAAAACTCTAATAATAATTACAGATCGTTAGTGGAGTTGAAAAATTGGTCAGTGTACGGTTGCCCTAAGCTCGTCTATGTGACTATTTATTTTCTTATACTGCTTAAATTATTTATTGTTATGTTGTATGATTTAAATTATCACATTTAATTGTCTTCTCATTATTGATTGTCTGATTGTGATTCTTATATGATTAACTGATTTGAAATAAAACCCTAGTCACATTTCTTAATTGTTAAGGTATAAAAATGTACTGTTTGCTTAAATGTCATTTGATTGATAAGTGAATATAAAATGAGATGTTAGTAGGCGATTGGAGATTGCTTGTTGATGGGGATCTATATATGAAAGGCTTAATGGGTACCCTGAAAAATGGTAGATGGACTCGGTATATAGAAAAACCCTACCGTGAACAATACCTCAATCGGACGGGGCTGAAGAGTCTCATACAGGAAGGGTTTGGAGATATGGTTCACCCTCATACTGGACGAGATATTGAGGTGATGGTATATTTGGTGCCCATTACCAAAAATGGTATAAGAATGGCCGAGTAAATTGATAAATCTAGATATTGGGTTCACGAGTAAGGGAATACCCCTAAGGACCCCCAGGAATCACAGTGAGCAGGTAAAAATAGAGAATGATCGACTTTACTCACTTATACATGAAATTATAAATGTTATATGGGTGTTTGTCTTATAGGTTGGTTTTGAAAAACTCATAACGGTAAGTGTAAAAATAACGTTTTGATATTAAATAAATTTATTTATATTAAGGACTACATTAGTTGTTTTGTAATCTTTACCAACATTTATTTTTCGTATCAGTGATTAGTGTGATATTCTTAATGAACAAGTGTAGCTCACCATTCTATTAATTATTTCAGATCAAGAGAATCAGGATCCAGATCCCAATCAGTAAGAAAGTTGTGAGTAGTTTAACTTCCAGACTCCTTCAAGAGTTAGTGGAGGTTAACTTCTAGGACATTTATCTATTTATTTTAAATCATTTATTTGATTCTTTTTAAGAGCCACTGTAGTAGGGACATTCGAGTACCCCTATTGAGCATTCTAATTTACTGTATAAGGAATATGAAACATAACATTATTATTAGTTTCTGCATTTAAATTATAAATTCACTTCCTTTAAGGTTCTGGTCATTTACAATTGGTATCAGAGTCACGTTCATTGAAACAATTCCTTACACAAAAACTTAAAAATACCAAATATAAACTATCGTTCAACACTTCTTTGTGAAATACAGGTACAAAGATATTAGGAGATGAAGAACCCCCATTAAACTGAGCAACTCGATATGGTTCGCTTCGAGATGATGTTGACAAACTATTTGAGATGTTAAAGATACTCATCTCTGCTCAGCAAGCCTGGGAGAAAAACATGGGATTGCTTGATCCTCCCCCGCTGCCATAATTTGAGCCAGCCTTACAACGGAAAGATTCGGAGTCACCCCCGTACAACTCTGCTCCTCCACCGTATAATCTACCACCACTACAGTACAATTCGGTGCATCTATTGTATCATATGGCACCGCCACAAGGCCATCCAGTCCCTCCATAGCACAATCAATCCCTCTTCTCCAAGACCCAGTTCCATCCATAATGGTTCAAAACTACATTGAAATGTACAAAAGACTAAACCCATCTACCTTTGTAAGGGCATCCTCTTTCGCGAGCCATTGGTTAGCTGAGACAGATAAGGCATTTGTGACTCTTTGGGTGGTTTTTGAACAGAAGGTTGTACTTGCCACCTATATGCTCGTGGGAGAGGCAGGTCGTTGGTGGTAACTCAAGCAAGCCACCCTGTCCGTTCCAGTCATTTAGGAACAGTTTCTGATGGTTTTCAATACAGACTACCTCCCATAGCACCTTCAACATTTAAAGGAAATATAATTTACATACCTAGTCTAGAGTGATATAATTGTGTTAGAGTATACTCGAAAGTTCATAGAGTTTGGCCGGTATTCCCCTGAGAGCATGATGGATAAAGGCAGGAAGGTAAGGAAGTTCGAATGGAGCCTCTGTCCTAAGATCAAATAGCAGCTGTATGTATTTGAGTTCAACACCTACTCAGCTGTTCTGGTTAAGGCACAACTAGTAAGGAGGAATCTTCGCATATTTTCTCTAGCAGTGGGGAATCCCAGATCCCTTATTTCACACTATAGACCAGCACCCATTGCACCGGTTTAATAGAACAAGAGGTATAAGCCAGTGACTCAGACTCTTCCTCAAGGTCCGGTAACAGGACGCAGTAGGACTTGCTAGCACTGTAACAAAGATCGTGGGGACCAATCTTGCTATCATCTCGACAATGTCTACCGCATATGTGGGAGTGTCAAACACTACGTGAGAGAGTGCCCGCGAAATCAGAACCAGCTCAGACGTCCTATAAAGGGCAAAATTTACAACCTCACTCAGTATGATGCTGAAGCCAACCCGAATGTAATACAAGTTACGTACATTATCTATAATCACATTGTACATATTTTGATTGATAATGGTATTTCACATTTATTTGTCTCACACACTTTTGCACAAAACTTAAATATATTACTTGAAAGATTTGATTATGTATTATTTGTTTATACTCTTGTAAGTAGAACACTATTATGAGAGGTTATATACAAAGTTCGTATAATAAATATAGCAGATAAGAGATTTAGTGTGAACCTGATAGAGATTGACACGAAAAACTTTAATGTAATTTTAGGAATGAACTGATTAGCGGCGTATCACGTCACCGTAGATTATTTTCACAAAAAACTTATATTTAACTCTCATAACGAAAAGTTATTTATAAATTAATAAAATTTTTAAATATTATTCATTTGTAGTTAATTTTTTAGCACTTCAAATTATTTCTTTTAGAAATTTATTAATAAATTTTAACAAAAAATTAAGTTGACATAATAAAATAAAAAAGGTGAACCAATCCAATAAAATATACGCATTTTAATTTTAAAAAATAAGTATTCGATATAAAATAATAAAAAATTAACATAAAAAATAATTTAAAATAGAGTTAGTATATGATGAATAATATATTATAAATTTTATTACTTTAATTTATTATTATAATTTTTCTCAAATTAGAGTGTCATTGTTTTTTTTTTTAAATTTAAATCAAACAAATAAAAATTTCAATAAAATTTCCCATATAGAATTTACACATATTGTCGTTTCATGGTCTAAATCAAGACAATATTGTCGTTTCATGTGTTTTACAAAAAACGCTTACGCATATGAAGAAAATATAAGAGCTCTTGCCGCGAAATTTTGGTATTTTGAAAGGGGTAAGGGTGAACGAAAGACTAACACTCGCGCCTTGCAGTCACAACCATCAATGGATTTCGAAGAAGAAGAAGAGGAAGTTCTCTCATCTTCTGATCCTGGTGACTCTAGCGAGGATTTCACCGTTGACGGCGACAACGAGAAAGACGATGATTTCGAGGACAACGAGGACGATGATGACAGCGGGGACAATGAACAATGCGGAGAGAACTCTGCGTCGTCCGATGAAGAACGGAAATCGAAGAACGTTGATGCTCTGGTGAGGTATGCATTCAGTTCATCATTCTCCGAAACGCTAAGTTTAGCTCAATGGTTACAACTTTCATTCCACGTGTGTTGAAATTTGTTCGAAGCGGACCTGGTTCAGTTTGGAATTTTTAGGGTTTTGGGGTAATATTTCCTGACGCAGGGTTTTATTGGCGTTAATTTTTTCATGCTTAATGAATTTGGGGTAATTTGATATGAAATTCCGTTTGATTGTTGAGAAAATGAAGTAGAAAGGAACTTAGCTTGGTGCCTGTTAATTTATTTTTATTTTCGTTGACGCCACTGATATACATTATGTTAAAAGAAATGGGAGAATAAGGAATTCTTGTTATGATCCCGATAGTAATGTACCACATCTGGTATCCATTTCTATTTTTGCTTTGAATTTTTCTGTTAAATATATTTTACCGGAAACGAAGTTAAGCTACTAATTGTTATGGTTTTATGAGAAAAACTTTAATCATCAATTAGTGGTACGTGCAAATCTACCGAGGGTGTTTTGCAGCTCTTTTTGGATCGCTAATAATTTTAAAATTTCCAACATTTGGTTTTATTAATGTTGCCCCTACCTGCATTACATTTCCATGAATTTTTTGCGAGCATGAACTAACTGTGTTATGATTTATCAGAGGTGACCTTGTCATTAAAAGACAGTCACTACTTCCTCGAGTTCTTTCGGTGTCGGAAGGGGCAGCAGTATGTAGGAAACCCTTCAAGCCTCCTTGCTTGAATGGCTATAGCAGTTGCAATGACCAGCTTGCCCGTCGTCTCTCTGCTCGCAAAAGATTTGTCCCTTGGGGCTCTTCAAGGGCAGTGTTGGTTGAAGTAACTAGCCAATTGAACTTACCAAGTATTGTTGAGAAAAATGTGGTGGAGGAAAGGGTGACTCTGCCTGCTGGTATTGATCCTCTGGTATTGTGGCAGCCTGAAGATTCTGAGAATGGAGAGAGTGGTCTAGTGCCAATTGTGGTTGATCCATTGCTTGTTCGTTTTCTGCGCCCCCATCAAAGGTATTGCAGCTCGTGATACAAGTTTTGAGCTTTGTATGCTATTTTCCTTGTTGTACATGTGTTTATATGTGTGTATATATATGTATGTATAAATTGTTAAAAGGAATATGCAACTCATAGCTAGAATCATGTCGACGTTTATAACTGCTCTGGCATTCTATCTTGACTATGTATCAAGTAGTTGACGGGATGGAAATTTTTGAACTGCAGGAGGGGGTTCAATTCATGTTCGAATGTGTTTCTGGTCTTTGTAGTACAGCAAATATCAATGGATGCATCCTTGCTGATGATATGGGGTAAGATCTTTTCCGTTGTTGATAAATCGTGAGAATCAGGTTCATGTTTTCTCTTACTGTTCATTTATTCAATTTCTGTCAAAGCCATGAACAGTCAGTTGCTAATTTTGATCTTACCTTTGCAGTTTGGGAAAGACATTACAGTCAATCACATTATTATATACTCTTCTACGTCAAGGATTTGACAATAAACCAATGGTCAGGAAGGCCATCATTGTCACACCAACAAGTCTTGTGAGTAATTGGGAGGCCGAAATTAAGAAGTGGCTTGGGGAGAGAGTTCAGCTTGTAGCTCTTTGTGAAAGCAGTAAAGATGATGTTATCTATGGAATTGAGAGTTTTACCCATCCACACAGCTCTTTGCAGGTATCCCTTTGCCTCTATTCTGGTAAGTCCTAGAAGTATCAACTTACTGCTTTAATTTTCTCAGGTGCTGATTGTTTCATATGAGACATTCAGCATGCATTCGTCAAAAATTAGCCAAAGTGAATCCTGTGATCTTCTTATATGCGATGAGGCTCATAGACTGAAAAACGACCAAACTCTAACAAACCGAGTAAGATGTAGAAACACAGTGTCATTACTTACTGAATATCTCTGTTTTTAGTTATGAAAATTTTCCTTACATTAGTCAATGATTGGGCAGGCATTGGCTTCTCTCTCATGCAAACGCCGGATCTTGTTGTCAGGGACTCCATTGCAGGTGACAAACAACTAAAATTGGGTGGTCAGTTTTTTTTATGATTTTAAAGTCTTCCTCCCTTATTTATGTATCCTTTTTAACCTTGCAGAATGACCTAGAAGAGTTTTTTGCCATGGTCAACTTCACAAATCCAGGAATCTTAGGTGACGCTGCATACTTTCGACGTCACTATGAGGTGAACAGGCAATTAAATTTTCTAAACCCGCTATTTGTGGTTGTTAATTTAGAATCTGAAAAAGGATTTGGCAGTTCTCTAATTTTTTGTTTTTTCTCTAACTTTATCTGGAAGGTGGGTTGCAAATTGGCTTACCATGCATTAGAGGGCTGTGTAATTTCTTTGACTATTTAGTGATCATTCTGATAAGTTGGGATCTCCTTGGCCTTTGCAAAGATAAGGATAGAAAACTGCCAGCAAACTCTGACACCTATCTTGTTGTCCAAAACATTCCTGTTACAAAACTTGCCAGTGAAAAGGAACTAGGGGGTGGAGCTCCATAAGTTCACTGCCAATATATATTTTTCTTTTGAATCACAAATATTTATATTTAACTACTACCCCTGATTGACTGTTATCAGCTGTATGTCCTTGGAGTTCTTTTTTATAGGCTAAAGATTACAAAACTGAGTCATGTACCCTTGACTTTGAAGATATCACTTGCTGGTTTGTTGCCCCAATTCTACTTATGGACAGTTGGACGCACGTGCAAACATACACATAGAGACAGACATGTAACTGCATGCATCTGCAAATATAGAACACATGCTAATTGCAATTATCAGGGCTCTTTCAGACTTAGTTTCTAATACTGTTGTCTTATGTTTTTGGACTCTAAAAGCTGCTGTTAATAAGAAAAAGAACCTAATAAGCGAGACTTGCACCCTTCGTGTGATTCATAATGTAACACGACTCAATTTTGATTTATTTTTCGATGTTATGATTGAATTCTTTTAGTGTTTCCTTATTTTTCTTTACGTCAATACATGCTTCTTTTGTGTACATGTGAATTATGAAGACACCAATTATATGTGGAAGAGAACCTGCTTCTGCTGAAGAAGAGAAAAGGTTAGGGGTTGAGCGCACTGCAGAACTTAGTGCTAAAGTGAATCAGGTGATCTGTTTCTTAATTTGTTCATTCTCATTGAGAATGCTTTTTCTGTAGGCTTTTGTGAAAGTGTTGTTCATGTTTACTTCTTGCTGGTTACAGTTCTTTTCAAAACATGGTAAATTAAAGAACAGTTGTTCTATGCTAGATTTTTTGTCTGAACTCTTGAAAACAATAGATAGCTCATATCTTTCACAAATAAGAAATTACTTCTGGTGCGTCTCACAGCTGACTTACATGCATGTGTTTGCAGTTTATTCTGAGAAGAACTAATACATTGCTCTCAAATCACTTGCCTCCAAAGGTAAACATATGCTTTTCATGTCATTGTGCTTATTTTTCCATAGCATGTTCATCGTTTTTTCAAAAAAGTAGTTTCTTGCTCACTGGGTTACATGAGTAATGGTTTTGCACCTTTGCTATCCAAGTGAATGAAAACTATTAGTTCTAGAAAAATAAATAGAAATGCACATGTCTAATAAAATATTGGTGAGAGTAGCTTTTCACTCATGCTTTCACTTTCTGGTGCTACCATGCCAATATGCCATTCGTTTTACACTCTATCTTGGGTTTTCCTTGCAGATAATTGAAGTAGTTTGCTGCAAGCTGACATCTCTCCAGTCCGATTTGTACAATCATTTTATACATTCAAAAAATGTAGGAAATGCTATAAGATTTCTAATTGAACTAGGATGTATTTTATTAAATGTTTTTAGTATTGAAAAATCTGCAAGAGGAGTGTCTGACATGACATGGCTGTTATTTGGCTGCACTTAAATGCAGGTTAAGCGGGCAATAATTGAAGAAACAAAACAGTCGAAGATTTTGGCTTATATTACAGCTCTTAAGAAGCTCTGCAATCATCCAAAGGTATATTCCATAAAAAAAAAGAAAGATATTAAAAATTTTGGAGCAATCACTTTGAGATATTTCTCTTTCTATATCTCATTGTGGAGGTATGAGGATCAAGTTGGCAAGATTTGTATTTATTTTTCAAAAGTAGCACTTCTTGTTTAAAGTGAGGCTTCATATGCTAATGGAACCACACTTAGAGAAGTTCCTTTTCTTCCCTCTCTTTTAGCCGTTTCTGATTAATTAATTGACAAAAAAAATATATGCTCAAGAAGTGTCACATCTATGTTTAAGTAAAATGATGTCAAAACACTTTCCTTCATGCAACATAGCTAAATTACTAATGATTCTCGTGGTACACAACTATGAAGTCATATTAAAGGATATTGATATCATGCAAAGCAGTGTGGCATAATATGTCTAGCATGGACAGGCTTTAGTTAAGAAACACGTATATGTTTGCTGTGACAAAAATGTTTAGCTGTAGACCACTCTAGTTAACAATGTTCATGTATGAACCGCTCTAGTTAAGCAATATTCGCAAATATGTTAACTACTAATATTTGTTTGAGAAGAGTTAAACTAGTAGGTTTGCTTCATCTAGTTTGCTACCATTTCATTTCTTTTTGGTCTCTGTTCTGTGTATTTGAATCCCAAATACATTTGTTCTAATGGAAGATCTTCTACCTGTGTAGCTAATCTATGATACAATAAAAAGTGGCAGTCCAGGGACTACAGGATTTGAAGATTGCATACGGTTCTTCCCACCAAATATGCTCTCAGGAAGGTAAGCCTTTTTGCTATATCTTAATTTTTGTTTATCTGCACATGTTTTGAGTTTATATTCTTATCAGTTTCCTTTTTCCTTGTGTTGTTAGATCTGGATCATGGAGTGGGGGTGATGGTTCATGGGTGGAACTATCTGGTAAAATGCATATCTTAGCCCGGTTACTGGCTCATCTACGTCAGAGAACTGATGACCGAATTGTTCTTGTCTCAAACTATACTCAGGTATGCTTAGATGGTGATTATTATGATCGAGCTTGTTGACTAGCAAGAAATATGGTCCAATCTTAATTTGTATTTTAAACTGTGGTTGTCCGTCTAGAATGAAGTTGATAGATTCTGTCTCATACTATCCAGTAGTTTTAGAAAGTGATCAAGGCTAGATGAATGTATAGATTTGGGTATTTGTCATTAATTTTCCATTAGTATGCAAAACATTAGTTTCAGACAAACATGGTCAGCAGAATACTACTCAGGAATATGTTTAATAATCGATGGACCTGGTGAGTCAACTTGCAATTATGACTGGGAGGTGCTATGTTGAATTTCTTTGGTGGGGAAAACTGTCAACTGGTATATCTAAAGAAACAACATTCTATGTATTTTTTCTTTTCAGTATCATATTCTATTGTGTATTGATGTCAAAATTGCTTGCCGCTATGGAATTCATATTTCTTTTGTATTGACCAAATGTTTCTTCTAAAATCAAAGTTATTTATCCAGTATTTATTGAAATTGTTTCACTACATGCTGAATTTGTATGAATCAGACACTGGATCTCTTTGCTCAATTGTGCCGTGAAAGAAGATATCCGTACTTAAGGCTTGATGGAACAACTTCAATGAGAAAGCGACAGAAGTTAGTTAATCGCTTTAATGACCAATCTAAGGTATAGAAGCTTTTTGCCATTACAATCTCTCTAAATTTTTGTTTGGGCACCATCTGGATGAATTTGCATTTTTCTTAAGCAGCAAGATGCCATCTAAATTAAAGTAATGACCTCTCTTGCAGGATGAGTTTGCATTTCTCCTTAGCAGCAAGGCAGGTGGTTGTGGCCTTAACCTAATTGGTGGCAATCGGCTTGTCTTATTTGATCCTGATTGGAATCCTGCTAATGATAAGCAAGTAATTGCTTAGTTCAGCTCCTGTAGTGACTGCTAATATTAAAGCCAGCATATTTATGGCTGATGACGTAGGATCCTTACTGTTCACATCTTCTGTCTTTTGAATTAGGCTGCTGCAAGAGTTTGGAGAGATGGTCAAAAGAAGAGAGTATACATCTATAGATTTTTAAGTACAGGAACAATCGAAGAAAAGGTTTAGTTCAAGAGTTAATAGAAGTCCAGAACTCTGGTTTTTCTCTTTTGGGCATTCTCAAGGTTTCTTTGAGCTACAGATAAGCCTTTATTTCAGATTCATGTTGATGAATTAACTTAAATTTCTGTAGGTATACCAGCGTCAAATGTCAAAAGAAGGGCTTCAAAAGGTTATTCAGCAGGAGCAGACTGATAGCTTTACGACACAGGTCTGAATTTTTCTCCCTTTCAATGGTTACATTGGCATTGACTTACTGATTGACAATTGCATAACATATTTAAATTGCAGGGGAATTTTCTATCAACAGAAGATTTACGAGATCTATTCTCATTTCATGAGAATGTGAGGTAATGTGTCGTCCGTTAGTTATGTACCATTATTAGGTCACATTATGGAAGCTTCACTTATAGACTGAGCATCACAACATAGATTTTTTATGTATATTGAAACTTGAAGGCCTTGAACTTGCTGTATTTGGTTCAATGATTGATAATTTGTGGGCATCACTGATGACCCTAGAGATTTGCTGTCACAATCAAAACAAGGAAAGCAATGATGGTATAGACACATGTTATATTGAGTTACATCAGTGCATAGTCTTCCGATCACATACTTGAATTTGATCTAGTTGTTCTTTTAGTATATGTGCCACAATCTTTTCGTAAAAAGAACACAGTAGACATTGGCTTGGCATCAGATTGTTATGAGATTGTTAACATGTGTATAAATAATAATAAAATCGAATTTTTT